TACTTGCCAGGGCCATTATTTCAATGACGTGTACCTGGGCGAGATGGCCCAAGTGGTTGGAGCGCGAATTTACTGACCGGAAGTTCCGTGGTTCAAACCCGACCTCTGTCTCTCGACTTCTCCTGTATAGGCTTGGGTAACCTGGCAGTATCCCGGCCCTCGTGTTTCCTTCCGGTGGGATAGCAGTTAGGCATCGAAAGGATGTTACATCTGAACGATTTTGTTCACAACCCCACACACTCCTCGTAATGAATACTGTTCATTTAGACATGAATGATTCGTGAGCCCTGTTAGGAAGGTGGACAGTTCCTGCAAGGGACATGCATAGATCTTCGGTTTAGTCCGTGAACCGGTCAGAGGTGTTTGTTCATTAGTTTATTCAACCCTTTGTCTGAGGAAGAAGGCGTGATTGCTAGAGAGCCTATTTGAGTGCTGTGTAAGCTATATAGAGTGTACACCAAACGACGAGTGTGTCAAAGTTCATACAAGCACTGCGTCGAGGCTTCTGCACTAGGAGTGTATGAGGTTTGCAGGACGAACGGAAGTAGTTTACATCCAGGAGTTGATGAAGTGAGTATCGCACCACATCTCACACATCACATTGTGTCTGATTGTTGGATTCACAGATGAGGAACCTTATCTAAATGATGGACCCGTACAGTGGTGGTACGCATCCACTCGTCAGACACAATTTCATTGATCCACATTCTTGTTATCCTAACTGGAGACCAAATATTATCACACGATGTTTGCTGAATATATTGAGTCTTTCACTGTTCCACCATCCATGCCGTATCCTAACTATTGATGTTTTCGGTTGTGATTGTGACGCGCTGTTCTGGAACGAGAACCATTTGACTCGTGGATAGATATGTCAATCAGAATACCGACATGTAAGTTGCTAGGATTCCGATGTGCTTTCGACGGGAATTCAGTTTTTCAGCTAAAAAGACTAAATGCGGTGGTTCCTGCTGTTGCAGTCTCGTTCACCGAGGGTAAGGAGAACAGAATGAGAGCCACGCGTGAAATCCTTAAGTTGCGGATTTCTACAGCGGACGTAGCAGTTTCCACCGTTGATCAGTTAGTTGCTAATTGTGTGACGTCTCTGACCCAGGCGTCCAGTGTCAAACGGATATGTCCGGTTAAACTCCAGAACATTCTGAGTAGCATTTCAATGAATTCAAAATGATTTGAAGACTAAAAGTAAATTTTCCAGAACAGCCTATATTTAAAATTGAATGTCTGAGTAGCATTTCAATGAAATCAAAATGATTTGAAGACTAAAAGTAAATTACTAGTTTCGTAAAGGAAACTACTGAAAACTCTTCGACAGCCCACGACCGGTTTCGTCCTCCTTGGGGCTCATCAGGTAGGCGCAGTCCCCGAGTTTCCGTCAACTTTATGTTCTACTTGAACCCCAATTGAGACTGTTTTCGAGAAACACACTCATTTGCAAATCAATTTGGTTTTCACGAGAGACTCAACTGAATCTCTCTTTTATGATATTCTACAACTGAATGTGCCGCACACAGGCCACCTCATGTTTCAGTTGGCACGGTATATAAATTACTAGTTGTACGTGTTAGTACTTCGAATTAAGGGGAGGATTTGCTCCACAGTCTGTTCTACCATTGTGAATCCTTCAACTGTTAAATATATACACTGGCATTCAGTAAGCAGGGACTTCATTTCCAACAAATTGGTAAGAAAGCTACCTGTTCAGACGCTTTACTCATCATTTGTTTCCTTATAACCGGCAATGCATCGCTTGGCGGATCATAATATCCCCAAGGTTACTGGAAACTCTTCAGTAGTCCACGGTCGGTTTCGCTCTTCTTGAGACGCATCAGGTAGGGGCAGTTCATGGGTTTCCGTCAAACTTCTGTTTCACTTGCACCTAATCAGTATACAGTTAGCGTACTATGCCCATTCGCAAAGTAACTTGTTTTCAACAGATGACTCAACTGAATAAAAGCACTATAAACGACAGATTAAGTTGGATTCAGCTTAGTCTTCTGTTAAAACCGCATTAGTTTTCAAATAGGTCTAGTTCACAAATTGCGTATGATTTGAGTTCAAGTAGAACATAAAGTTGAAGTTGGATTCAGTCTTCTGTTAAAACCGCATTAGTTTTCAAATAGGTGTAGTTCACAAATTGCGTATGATTTGAGTTCAAGTAGAACATAACATAAATGAAATTTGAGTCCTACGATGAGCCTCAAGTTAGGCGGAATCGGTCATGAGCTATCGACTTGCTTTCAGCAACCTTATGGGTAGTATGTTCCGATGTCACGAATACCGTATCAGCTGAAGAAGGGCATCGAATCTCACTTTTAAGTCTGGTTCCGATCTGCTTTTTTGGGTGCGCGTCACTCTAGCCTATCACGGCCGTCATCCTATCATTACCCGCTGGGTCTGATTCCGGTGTACACCACACTTGGTTCATCCGCCAGCCAAAGTCAAGTAAATGGTCTACTCGAAAGTTGTCGGTTGGTATGGCCTAGTTAACAGCGTGCCCTCAACAACAAGGGAAGGAGGTCAGACCGGTTAACAGCACGTATAGTAACACACGCAGCACTACTTAACGAACAACCACTGGCCCATCGCTACGCTCCATAACAACACACTTGATGTCGCCTCGATTGATGTTGAAACTCTTGCAATCAAATCACCCAGCCCAGCGAACAAATCAACAACCATCAACTAAAATGCTAACCAGTCGACATCCGTGGCATGACAAAAGAGTGATAGTGAGTCACGAGGATTTGGCTGTTCGATTCTGGGCTCAGTCGTTGTGTTCAGGTCCTGCTTTTCCCTGTTAAGGAGCGAGTGACTATTGTTTTGCAAAATACCTTGGTTTCCCGGCTTTTTGGCGCCCTCTGTCGGGACAACTATAATTCATGGATTCCATTGCAGTGAGTGTAAATCAGCCGCCCTCGCGGCCATTCGCAGCATGATAGTATGACTAACCAACGTGGAAAATAATTAAGAACTGTGGTTCCAAACCTGGTCGCTGTGTATTGAGCTTCTCACTTATGTAGCTAATCTTGTTTCCGGGCATCGGACCTCAGTGTTTTCCATTACAGTCGGTCTCATTGAATAAAATAATGTAAAAGATCCTATTACGAAGACTTGCTGGAATGGAAAAGACTTGATAACTATCTTATGACCTCACTGTTACCTTACCTATGGTGTGCAATACATGCATGAGCCTCCTGAGATTTCGGACAATATGTGCTGCTAATTATTGCAGGCTTATTTTCATGTCTCCATCGAATACATCCCCTTATTTGATCCGTGCTGGTGATCTGACTCGCTTTGAACATGACTCATGGGCAAGGCCGATTCAAATACGAACAATTTTCTTCCTTCTAGGCAAATTAGCGGATCAGAATGTCGGTTTATACACGGATTAGATGCCGGCGTGCGCCATGCTGTGCAACATCCAGTTCCACTTGTGTGCCATAGCACCAACATGTGCAAACAACAGCACAGCTAGCTAGAAATGGGTACGGTTAGCAAAGATGTATGTGCGGGCTGAAACGGCCCTAGTCACATGCGGAATGGCCAAGCGAGTAACGGTTCAGAGTTACGTCCTAATTATCGGTTTTGGCTCTTGTCCGGACCAATGTTCCTCTAGAAATTTTCCTTAAGAAATACTCAGTCGAAACAGAGAGCTATGGAAAGCGGAAAACACCCAAAACAATATCCAGTTGTAATGACTAGGGTTCTCGCGCATGTAAAGATCTGCCACATAAACTTGTCCGTATGAGGCTGGTTTGAAGAAATAGGAATAATGGTGCACAGAAAAATACACGGAAGACGGTTACTGCCCAATGGTCCCTAAAGGTGATGTGGAAAATAACAAAGCAGAGTTTAGTCATTTTAATTCCTTTAATTAACCAACACTCCACGACTTATAGTGTTACGCTCCCAGCTTCAATCTGCTGGCACCTATGCCTGTCTCCATCTATGTGTTCGCAGGAGAGCTCTCACTTCCCTTAATCCGTCAAAAGTGTTACATCCTTTGAACCGGTAATAACGGACAGACGGAATTGATGCGCCTGCTTTTCTTATGAGGTACAAGAATATCCCGTTACTGTTTGTCTGCACATCTTAAGTCGGTACGAGCTAAAGCTTCCTGGTCAATGTTTAGTCGAATCAAGTGTCGTGTACTGAAGACGTCGACCGAATAGCAGTCCAATTCGAGGTCAAAAACGGGTTTCGGGAAAGTTGGCATCCAGTGATTTTACAAACGTGGATGCTTTGAGACAGCAACTGCGATTCACACCACAGAGACTGACTCCAGTGGCGGCTGACATAGACGAAATTCCTAGGGTTGTTAGAATAGATAGTTCTGGTTAGCATGTGGAAACACGCAGCTGTGACCAGTTATCGGTCAAAAAAACGGAGGTAAGAAGTCCAACCCGAAAATCTTACGTATCGCTTTTTGCCAACCCATTTATTGTAGCCTCAGCTGACCCATACAGACTGCCAAATTAAGAACAAGATTCAAGAAGAATCAAAACCGGAGGATTCACGCCCTCAAACCCGGTCCAACTTCTCTGGCGCTTCGGTGCCGTCTTTACTCACGCACACTAACTGATAAGCAATTTATCTAAGCCGACAGCCTGAAAAGCCTTCATGGATCCTCTATTGTTAAGAACCGTACTTTCTAACATGGGTATAATGTCACCTGATTCTACTGGTTCGACAGGACCTGATACCGAATTTCATCGTGAATCTCGCCATTCTTGGCCTTCTTCCTCTGCTGAAATCCGCGAAGGACATTGACCTGGTTTCCAACTTCATACTTCCAAATGCACAATGCCTTTGTAAATTTATCTCAATTGATTGTCTTCGGTGCTGTAATTTTGTGCTAATGCAATGATCTTTATCAGGGGTCGGTGTTCCTCCTTAAGCATGATTACACTCTCAGGAAAACATTAGGGGGCAGCCTTGCTCAGGGTTGCAGTGAGTATACTTGTGATGTTTTCCACAGTTTTTGTAGTGCAAGTATTTCATGACTCGTTCCATGAGAGAGATGTTGAAAGCGATCTCACACCACCCATTCGTCATTCTGAATTCGCTGGTTGACATAATGAAGTAGCCCACTTGTTGCGGGACCAAGCCAGATGAGAGCTGAGAAACGAGAGAGTGGAATAATAAAAGGATGCATAATTCCTAGCTAAGCGCACCTTTCTGTGCTTAGGGTCTTTCGGAAGCAAAAGTATGTACTGGTACGTGCCCCCCTCCCCAAATTATCCACTAATTTAGCGAAAGTGAATTATTCATAAAGTGATTCCATTTGTTCAGCCAAAACTCGATCTAGAAGATAAAAGATGGAAGTAGCTTCCGGAACTTGTTTTCTTCCGCCACTCAACAGTTTAGGTGTACACTCTCTCGGGTCCTTGAAAACTGAATAGTTGATCCGTTCCCTCTCCTACCGGTTTCGAGTACGCTGATGGAGACAAAATTCTGCGTACCTGCATCCCTGTTAGATTTCGGAAAATCATTCTACTAGGGTTTGATCAAACCCATTTCTACTATGTCTCCGAATAAAGGCCAAAGAGCCTTAGACAATACGCATAGTGTCTTACACAGGCAACAGTATTATTTTTCACCATTAAATCGATTGCGGGATAGAAGAGCCAGTTACCAAGGAACTCACGTTGGTCGGTCAGTATCTCCAGTTCCAGAGTTGAGCGCCTGCTACATAGTGCCATTCATTTTTGACGAGCATGGTCACAAATATAAAAAGTAAAGCAAGCGATGAATGTGGAAGGGTTACAGGAAAATATTGGATAAGGAGAGCGAAGTGTCTCATCCGAAGTCATGCCACCAACACTTCCAGTCAGACAAGAGGAAGCCCAACGTATGTAAGAATTTTTGGTATGAAAACACGCATGTAAAGACTGACAACCGGGGAAAGGATGAATAATGCTGAATGCTCTTCAAGGCGCGGTAAACCCTAATGCAGTCAAGACTCAAACATCAGGCACAAAGTTTCCGTCATACTGGGCCTGGTATGAGATTCAATAGCAAGAATGTACACTCAGTGCCATGTACCACGCATAAAAGTGTCGTAAGTCCGCAGAGAGCCCACAATGACAAGCAGACGCAAGTCACTGACTGTGACCTTAGGAAGTCCCAGTCCAATAACAGCCTTGGCGGATTGAAGAAAGCAAATCCCTCAGTAAGAAATAATCGTCATCTGGTGCGCCAAAAGGTCACTGTCACAACCGATCACATGCAGGGCTGAGATTATGGCGAGGAAATATTCAGCACCATACTTCTGCTTCCCCTCATTCCATACAGTCACTCAGCGCCCATTCAAGTTTATGCTAGCGTCTATCACAGTTGCTGTGCGCTCCCGAACAGCAATTAGGTCAAGTTCTATGAAAAAAGTCGAAGTAGATGCTCTCAACTCCTCGGAGGCGGTGTATCCCAGGCGACGGAGATGTTTTGCGAATCCCCTTGCAACCCCATTATGACGAGTACATCTAGCATCATGCGTGATCCAGCTAAATATGCACCAAACTCTCTGGTTGGCCACAGTCTCCACGACAGAAAATCGTCTGGCCACCATGACCACGTCAAGCGATTCTAACTCTCGTCCTGAGCAGGTTGCATCAGAGCTGGATACCGCGGATAAATATTCAAGGAAGCACTCGTTCTGGGAATACAAGCCATCGATTAGAAAATGGCGAAGCGACTAAATCTTGTCGATCGCGCCCGTCAACGCTGTTGTTCAAACTATTACCCTCGAGCAGCCACCAGCTCTTCCTTGGTGTTTGCGCACGCACCACGGACTCGGGTCGGAAGGCTGAGATTCCGAACAATCTTGCCTAAAGCGAAATTGTTGACCACATAGCGTAGTACCTGTCACTGTAGAAAGCAGCTCTTCCATACGCTCCCTCCTCTGCATAGGAATTGTTGCACTCACACTTGGGATGCCAAGCCTCCACATGTTGTTTACCAGCGTGAATGTAGCTGATCGGGGTGTCCTTCGGTGGGCGTAGCCAGCCATGAATAGATTATCTGATGTAATTGTCCAACCTTTTGAGCTTGTTTCGGTGGACTTAGCCGAGTATGAGCGAATATGTCAACCTCAGTATCAGGCAGTTGCCCCTGATCTCCATTCTTTGATGCAGCTTCAACGGGACACGCGTCACCTCGTCGAGCAATTTGAGAAGGTGCTTCCGGTGGTTGAAGACTCCTTTCCTCTTGAAAGTAAAGGGGATACCCAAATATGTCACAGTGTCTGTCGGACCCAGAGCGGCGATGAGTTCCTTGGCGAGGCAAAACGGTTCAACTGAGACTGCTTTCGTCTGGTGTTTCTCTTCCCCCCAAAGCACCATTGTTTTCTTTCGAGCGTTTATCATCATAACAGATTTTCCCAACTCAACCGCAGCAGCCTCAAATTCAAAAATAAAAGTCATCTACTAGAGTGTCACGGAGCTGGTATCCCAGTGGCGGTATCGACAACTCAAGAACGTCTTCCATTGCCATGACGAACAATAACGGAGGGAGTTAATTTTCTTGCCTCATACCTCTGTGGCAGTGAACCTCGAAACTGGGGAAAACTGCTACAGCATTTTCATAGGACTGTGCGATGTATCAAACTAGAGGTGACGGTGCTTCAAACGCCCCGGCAGATCTGACGATTATGTCATCCGAAAACGAATCAAAAGCCTTGGAGATATCAACAAACGCTAAGCTCAGGTCAGAAACAGTAGTTGAATAGTGACGAAGCAGGGCATTTAACAGCGATGTAGCTTCCAATCACCCGTCTCAATGTAGAAATACAAACTGGAGTGAGGGCAGTTACAATCTACGGCACCAGCGATCAGCAAGCACCTTGTGAAAGCATCGGACTAGAATGGATGACAGGGAGATCAGTCTCAGTTGGTCCAATGAAGTCGAACTTGGGACCTTCGGAAATGTGGTGATACGGGTACGAAACAGATGTGGAGGACAACCCCCAGATAATAAAAGTAAGTCGAAATAACCAACGAGCGCGTTAGCATTGAACCGGCAGAGCATATTGGGCATAAGCTTGTCCAGGTCTGCGAACGAATTGCCCATTAGACGGATCGTACGGCCGACTTCCTCTCCTGCGATCGACTCGATCAAGCTCCAATAGGATGGTACTACTATGCGACCTCGCCGGCTATTCACGTGTTTTGGAGCTCAGAGCATCTGTTTCCAATACTGCCGGGCGTCCAGAGGTAAGCTGCAGTTAACTTTGTATAGATCCTCCCATGACCCATCGAGCACAGCGGACGCTGCATCTTCCCGCCTTCGATGGTATAGGGTATGGATAGCAGCGTAGATGACTCAGCGGATCTGCTTTAGGTTGACCAGCATCCGATGGGCTAACTGATGAAGTAGTTGGGATACAGTTTTCCACGTGTGTGAAAATGTTCTGGGGGCGTGGAGGTCCAGAAGCAACAGGACTTGCTCGGGTGTCATGATGCCAGACCACAACCCTCGGGCAAATGTCAGAAGGTCAACACTAGCAAGCGGACTGCCAGCATGAGTCTCCAAGAGTGACAAGGCGCAATCCACGGTTTGTTTAAATCAGATGCAATGGTCTTCGGATTCTGAACGGTGGACCGCTACTTGACCGATAGTTTGTCCTGTTGTGCTCCCCATCTAAGCACCCATAACCTGAATTTGATGCTGATTGCCGATCGACCAGGAAATACTGCTTTAATCTCGCGAACAGCGCGGTTTGCATGCCACAAGACGGAAATAAATTGTTAGCCAATTGCAAGAGCGATAGTGACTCTTGATGGGACCAGCGGGCAGCAGAATACTTCACCCGGTCAAGCTTATCTGCATTATGCTGGGTGGGGTATACGTGCCGGCACACGCGTCACCTCGTCGAGCAATTTGAGAAGGTGCTTCCGGTGGTTGAAGACTCCTTTCCTCTTGAAAGTAAAGGGGATACCCAAATATGTCACAGTGTCTGTCGGACCCAGAGCGGCGATGAGTTCCTTGGCGAGGCAAAACGGTTCAACTGAGACTGCTTTCGTCTGGTGTTTCTCTTCCCCCCAAAGCACCATTGTTTTCTTTCGAGCGTTTATCATCATAACAGATTTTCCCAACTCAACCGCAGCAGCCTCAAATTCAAAAATAAAAGTCATCTACTAGAGTGTCACGGAGCTGGTATCCCAGTGGCGGTATCGACAACTCAAGAACGTCTTCCATTGCCATGACGAACAATAACGGAGGGAGTTAATTTTCTTGCCTCATACCTCTGTGGCAGTGAACCTCGAAACTGGGGAAAACTGCTACAGCATTTTCATAGGACTGTGCGATGTATCAAACTAGAGGTGACGGTGCTTCAAACGCCCCGGCAGATCTGACGATTATGTCATCCGAAAACGAATCAAAAGCCTTGGAGATATCAACAAACGCTAAGCTCAGGTCAGAAACAGTAGTTGAATAGTGACGAAGCAGGGCATTTAACAGCGATGTAGCTTCCAATCACCCGTCTCAATGTAGAAATACAAACTGGAGTGAGGGCAGTTACAATCTACGGCACCAGCGATCAGCAAGCACCTTGTGAAAGCATCGGACTAGAATGGATGACAGGGAGATCAGTCTCAGTTGGTCCAATGAAGTCGAACTTGGGACCTTCGGAAATGTGGTGATACGGGTACGAAACAGATGTGGAGGACAACCCCCAGATAATAAAAGTAAGTCGAAATAACCAACGAGCGCGTTAGCATTGAACCGGCAGAGCATATTGGGCATAAGCTTGTCCAGGTCTGCGAACGAATTGCCCATTAGACGGATCGTACGGCCGACTTCCTCTCCTGCGATCGACTCGATCAAGCTCCAATAGGATGGTACTACTATGCGACCTCGCCGGCTATTCACGTGTTTTGGAGCTCAGAGCATCTGTTTCCAATACTGCCGGGCGTCCAGAGGTAAGCTGCAGTTAACTTTGTATAGATCCTCCCATGACCCATCGAGCACAGCGGACGCTGCATCTTCCCGCCTTCGATGGTATAGGGTATGGATAGCAGCGTAGATGACTCAGCGGATCTGCTTTAGGTTGACCAGCATCCGATGGGCTAACTGATGAAGTAGTTGGGATACAGTTTTCCACGTGTGTGAAAATGTTCTGGGGGCGTGGAGGTCCAGAAGCAACAGGACTTGCTCGGGTGTCATGATGCCAGACCACAACCCTCGGGCAAATGTCAGAAGGTCAACACTAGCAAGCGGACTGCCAGCATGAGTCTCCAAGAGTGACAAGGCGCAATCCACGGTTTGTTTAAATCAGATGCAATGGTCTTCGGATTCTGAACGGTGGACCGCTACTTGACCGATAGTTTGTCCTGTTGTGCTCCCCATCTAAGCACCCATAACCTGAATTTGATGCTGATTGCCGATCGACCAGGAAATACTGCTTTAATCTCGCGAACAGCGCGGTTTGCATGCCACAAGACGGAAATAAATTGTTAGCCAATTGCAAGAGCGATAGTGACTCTTGATGGGACCAGCGGGCAGCAGAATACTTCACCCGGTCAAGCTTATCTGCATTATGCTGGGTGGGGTATACGTGCCGGCGATGTTGGCTCAAGCCAATATTCGTCGGAAAAAGACGGGGATAGTCAGCGCAGACCGAATGGGCAACCATGGTCGTACCAGCACTTTCATCGTCGTGAACTAAATGGTGAGCTACCAAGCTAACTTTCGATTTGCAGCACTTTCCACATTCCTCACACGTGAGCCTCTCCTTTGCACTGTTTGGAATTGATTCGGGGGCACCAGATGATTCGTAGTGTATATTGTATAAGGAAAGAACACATTGAAACCAAACAGGGTTATTATCCCCTTCTTGAATTGTTGAACCCTTAGCTCACCCAGACTGACGTCCAGGTTACCCAGTCGGCACCACGAGGAGGTAGTTCAGTTCGCTGACTATCTGTCAAAGGCACACGCTAATGGAAACCTTACTCCGTGGACTCGAAATAATTGCAGCAGTAGGCTGAGTAGAATGCTAAACAGGCTCAACAACGGATGCTTCGTGTGGAAATGGTTACCCATTTATATTCGCCAAGCGTTTTTTCAGCCTAAAAACAGCTAGTAATTTAGCTTTGATGGATATATTCGAATGGCAATTCAAATACATCCACGATACCCAGGGTTGATGAAACACACTTCCGTTAGGCGAGTTGCTTCTGGCTTGAATCTCGTTCCAGGACCCTGACCATTTACTTTTACCTGCGGATGCAATTACAGCATACAACCAGGCGTAACTGGAACACGAATAAATAACTATATATTTGAGTATATGTATGTATAAGTAAACATATGGTTCTAAAGTTCTAAAGAATGGAATCTGGGAAAGTGCCACCACGAAGCAGAGCAAATAACAATCACCGGGCAGACCATGAAATAGGCTTCGAATAAATGCTTAATGAACACCACTTAAGGTGGAACGGTTCAGCGTTTTGATTCACCTTTGTATGTACCAGGGCAAATTGCAACTAACACAACGTTAGCATGATAAAAACAACTATTAAAAGCTGGTATTTGGAGTGCTCGCCGTACCTCCTGGAATCAGTATTGGGTTTTATCCTGCTACTCACTTTACTTTTTGTTAAAGTGGGGTCATTTTTGCTCATATCTACATCAAACGTGTTTAGTTTATAATCTCGACCAAAGCCATCGCCTTAAGACTATGCAAACCGTCGCTTCAGATGTTTATTCAAAAAGGTAAACACGTGTTCCGTTTTTAGGCATATTGATCACCCGCAGTTTTTCGACGCTAGAGCACGTGACATGACCTCCAAACACCTGTGCTTTCGCAGCTCTCAGTCTGTAGTTGTTTCTCTTCAGATTATGTTCATAGGGTTCAAAGTTCTTAGCAAGGAGGAGAAGCTCGGTCCTAATTAGGTATGTTACATGCAGGTCTTGGACACAAAACTTCATAGGAATTGAATATCAATCCAAAAGCGGGAACAATCTCCACATTCTTTTAGTTTTAGGCAAGCACATTGGGGTCTCTTGTTCAGCGAACATGAACGCTACACCGGAAAAGGCGCGCTTAAAATTCTCTTAGGACATGTACCAGGCGAAATAAAGCAACATGGACTAGCGAATATACACTCATTTGCAAACTAATTTGGTTTTTTCGACAGACCCACCTGGAACCCAGATGAATCTCTCGTTTGTTATGTCCTCAGGCAACTGAATGTGCTGCACCAGGCCGCCTCATGTTTCAGTCGCTACGATATTCGAGATATCGCGATATATATATATGTCTTCGTAATGTACTACTCACAAGGCTGTTGGAAATCCGTCGACAGCCCACGACCGGTTTCGCCCTTCTTGGAGCTCATCAGGTAGGCGAAGTCCCCGGGTTTCCGTCAAGATTATGTTCTACTTGAAACCAAATTGCACGAAATTAGCGAATATACACTCATTTGCAATCTACTGTCGTGCCAACTGAAACATAAGGCGGCCTGGTGCAGCATATTCAGTTGGCTGAGAACATCATAAAAGAGAGATTCAGCTGGGTTCCAGATGAGTCTCTCGAAAGAACCAAATTGGTTTGCAAATGAGTGCATATTCGCTAGTTTCGTGCAATTTGGTTTCAAGTAGAACATAATGTTGACGGAAACCCGGGGACTGCGTCTACCTGATGAGCTCCAAAAAGGGCGAAACCGGTAGTGGGTTGTCGACGGATTTTCGGCAACCTTATGAGTAGTACATTGCGAAGATAAAACAACAGGGACTGTTTCCAATAGTATAAGGGGTGTAGCGGATCTCCAGAAAACCTAGCTGGACGCGGCCCAAGCGCAGTACATGTGTCCACATTACAGCAATTAAGCGATACGGTGTCAATTGCAATCGAAAGATCACGTTTCTAGTCAAGTACCTACAACTGATGTTTGATTTCTGTCCAGGTGACTGTGGACCTCGGGGATCATTAAGTGCATTTTCTTCCTGGTGCCCGAATAGCCTTACAGCTTTCTCAGGCTTTCGGTGTTGGATGGCTTTGTTTTACGCGGTAGACTCCTGCCCTGAACTACTTGTTTTCAAAATCCAACCACTTTTCTCTTTGACCTTTGGACCATATATTTAAGCGTGAGATTTTAAAATTCCTTAGCTCAACCGGAAGTGGAACGGCTTACATCAACGTTAACCGTTTCATACTATCCATGGAAGCGGAAGAAAATGTACTTTGAATCGTCGTCTAGAAAGGATGAAGCGATGAGATCTGTTTTGACGGACAGAATTTGTGACTTCAAGCCTCAGATTTCCGTATTTAACCCTTTTGTTTGTGTTGCGGTTATGGAGATATCCTGTCTGGGTTCTCTGATTAGTCACTTCCGATGTCATATTATGGACGAGATTACCTGAAGGCTTCCAGCTTCACTAGTAACTTTCACGACGAACCAGACCTTAATTTCATTCAGGTCATCAACGGTTCCAGTAAGCAAATGGTTGACTGGGAATTGTGCGGTCCAACTACCCGTGTGTGATACAGTTAACCCATCCACTGCAGAATGTCCGGAAAGTGAGGAATCACTGGTTCGAGTTATGTCCAAAAGTCTCCATCATTTCGTTTACCCTGTGCATGCCTGTCAATAAGCTTGAATAGGGTTAGTTTGGATTACTGTTCATTCATACACACCCCATAAACCCAGGTGTTCTAACCATACCTTATGTCATCACATGCCAACTGACTGGCAATGAAGGTTTGTTTGAAACACCAACAGTTTTGATCCACATAAAGCTTTACAATACAATCTTCGTATGCAACGAATATCACTAACTGGTTGGGTTCCATTCTGCGGAGCAGTCAAGTCACCCGAAGTGACCAACAAGACCATACCCAGATTTGGACAATCGACCGGAAGAGTCCGTTCAAAGAACCTTCCTCCATTGTAGCAACCCTCGATCTATTGATCCTGTCTCCGATGTCATTACTTGACGAGAGATAAGCTGATTTATTTTGTTCCCATATTCTAATTTCTCCTAAATTTGTATCATCCTTATGCTTACGAAGTCACGAAATTCAAGGAGGACTTGTATGCATACTAACCCAGGTTTTTAATCACCATCCACCAATGTGTTTGCACACGTCCTCCAAGTATTTGTCTTTTGTAGTCATGTGGATCAAAGCCAGCGGATGACAGACTTCTCTTCAGAACGCAAACCGAAATGAGAGATATTCCCTAGCCTTTCATTACTGCAATATCCGTGGAGAGTTGGAATCCCTGTTGGACTGTACAAGAGTAAGAAATCTTTTCAAAAGTACTCTGCATATCCACTGTTTACTCCTTGCTTAACATTTCACCAGCATGTATGAATATCCGTGGAGAGTTGGAATCCTTGTTGGATTGTACAAGAGTAAGAAATCTTTTCAAAGGAACCCTGCATGTCCACTGTTTGCTCCTTGCTTAACATTTCACCAGCATGTATATGTGAACTGTAAACTCGTGGGTAAATGAATTCAGGTCGTCATTATCCTGGTGCAATGTTTCAATTCGATGAGAAATTGCGAGGGCAGAATACCAGATGTAATTAATCACACTGCAGACCGATCCATTTTATCTTTCGTTAGTCTTTTCGGGTGGCGACATTACGGCTGCTTTACAATACTGATCTTCATTTGAACCAAAACAGTATACCTGTGTTGGCCCTCATGTGCGCGTTTACAGGTGAATACTAACATTTTTGATCAAATATCCAAGCTACCGCATCTTCAGCTGAGTCTTATCAGGACATCTGCTGTATGATCTGGTCAGCTGGTGCAAAATCACTGATGTCGCTATTAATTTAAGCCCACCATGTACGCAAAGGAGTTCGAGAATTGAAATCTTGAAAGAGATCTCTCCTGTTTGTTGGCGACAAGCATTTCAACATAGAAGAGTCGCATCAGTAACCTGCGGTTTGGTAGGAATTCATACATCTTTAGAAATGTGCAGCTCGGCAGTATACTCAGCGGTATACTCAGAAGGAAACAGAATCACGGATGCCCACGAATTGTTTGTTCATATCCGTGCTGTAACACTTCCGTTTCTGGTATATTTCTCGAGGAGAATGTGGCGAATTTAACGGGGAAGCCACAATGGTTGTTTCGTGACGTTTGTTTTCTCTTAAGAAGTATACAGTCAATTGTTGGACGGTAGAGCGAATGAGGTGACCCTCGATACGGGAATTTGCCGGGATGAATAACTACAGTTTATTTGATCCGATCACACTTCTATTGACGTATAGAATAAAAACGAAGTTAATATAATTTTTACACGATACCAAGCACTTTTTACACTAAACGGCGTGGAAAATTCTCGGAGGAGAACCTTTATCACTTATTGAAGTTTTCATGTTTTTGAAACGACTACAAGTGTGCGATACATATAAGTCACCGGTTGTAAAACAGATACAAGTACAGTTTAAAAGTGTTGAAAAACAAAGGACTCCATCCGCTCACCTACCTGTATACACTTCACCGTGCTCAGTAGGTCTAAGTTGACTTAACCGGATGCTAATGGGCATCTGGACAGTTCAAGGACGATCACTTGGCCCTTGAAGTGTGTCCGTTCCTGACTGATTTTCTTCTGTTGACACTTCCGAGTCTATACATAGCACACTGCTCAAATTCAGCTTAAAAGTTGTGTTGGTCAGATTTTAGATTGTACAGCGGTATCGAATTACAGAAAAACAGTTCAATGGGAGAAGCGTGGGCCGCATGGAGAAGTGAATACAAGCTAGAGGGACACGGTACTGCATGAATATGGTCCGGCGTCTTGAATATCACCCAGGTTGGAACACAAGACAATCTGTATGAAGCACATTTAGTTGAAGAGTATCACAAGTGAGTGCGTACGATCTTGTGCTAAGGCCGTGATCTCAAGGCAAGGAATTGGTTAGTTAGCCTAAACTCACGATCTGGGTGTCCTATGTGACAGGTAATGTGTAGTCCACTAATAATTAATAAAGAGTCGACTTTGCATAAAATAGAATAGTTCAGTCTCGAAACTTGATCAGTCACCGGAAGGTTAATGAATTAGTGTGAGGAATAGGGAAACATGAATAAGTGCGTCACGTAATTAACGGAATGGTACAGCTGAGTCTACAATTAAAAGTCAATCAGTTTGATAACCAATGTGTTCAGCAAGTTGCGTATAAATTTGGGTCCAATCAGAACACCTCAGGGGCTGCACCCGCCTGATGAACCGTAAGAGGAGCGAAAATAGTCGCGGGCTTTTGAACAGTTTCTCCAATAAACCCACTTCCCTTTCATCTGCACACAATTATGGTTGGCAGGGGAAACCTCAAACATATGGTGTGAAAATGAGGTAAAGTACGAATATTGGCTATACAGAACCTACTGCGATTGGCACCAGTTTTGCATTAATTGTTGACGCATTCCGCACTTTTCAGTAAGGATGCCATACGAACACATTTTGCGACGATAAGCTGACCTGCAAAGTAATTGATCCTCCGATTAAGAAATGATGAAACTGACAAGTTTGACTGGGCTATTGCTTGCGTAGACCACTCGACATTTCGTGGTGTGAGTAGAGGAAATTCCCGGAGAAAAAAGTTATTATCGCCATTCGGTTTATGAATCACTAACTAGTGTATTGGATCCGAAACTGTGCCAATCGATACCGTGACCAGGTGCACATAACCGATAAATAGATAATTCTGAATTTTACCTTTATTGTCGTACAAAACACCGCGCAGTTTACATCTGTAACTAGATGCCTGCAGTGATATTTGTCCCGGAGGTAAAAGCAAGTCAAATGTCCGTAGAAGTAAGTTGCTTCCAAAAGCTTACATAATGGTTTCGGAGGTCTCAACTGGAAAGTCTTTTCAGAACAGAAAGATGTGGGTGGATCTCGGAAAGCAATTCCCGTCCATAGTTATTTTGAATCTATTAGTTTGGTTCCTAGAAGTTTCGTCCAAGAAATTCTTGCTAGACGGCCAAAGCTCTACCTGAACCAATAATTAAGCAAGGGCATCCAAGTCTACTGCGCGGTCCTTAAAAAGCCGCCTACTCGGGAGCCAGTATTTGTTACCAGATGTGACGCAGTGAGCGCAGCGTGCATCGTTTCCGAATGCAAACACAGTATACACCAGACTCTATAATGGTAAAAACGCCAAGCTAACGGCTTGGCACTCAGCAGTGCCAGTGAAAAAGTAGGAACAATTCTGGCTTTTCACGCAATAAACTTCGTAAAAAGAGCGAAATACACTCATTTACATGCCAATCAGGTTTTGATGGGAGACCCACCCAAAACCTAGCATAATCTTTCGGTTACGATGTTTCTAAGTAACTGAATGTGTTGCACCGGGCCACCTGATGTCTCAGTTGGTACGATATTCGAGATATCGAGACATGTACAGACGTAATACACTAGTCGTAAGGTTACTGAAACTCTTGGCAGCTTATAGTAGGTTTTGCCCCACTTGGGGCTCATCAGGTAGGCGCAGCTCCCAAGTTTCCGTCAACCATGATTGCACGAAATGAGCGAAATACACTAAATTTCGTGCCAATTTGGTTTTGACGGGAGACCCTTCTGAAACCCAGCTGAATCTCTCGTTTATGCTTCAAAGCAATTCTATTCATAACGGTTAAGCACCAGCCGTTGCTACTACTGTATAGCTATGATGGGTTGTAGAACAATTTGAGGCTTTGCGCCTCAGTTAAGGTATGCAGAAATGTCATTCTCGGACACATAAATGTTTTTTTCTCAAATGAGTGGCGGACATCCCTTGAACTAAAGCCATTGTTCAGAGCAAAAGCTGGAAAAGTATAAATTTTACAAATCAGATTCACAAGATTACCAACGATACAAACACTCTGAACACCACATGGTCACACCATGGTAGGATTCACTGGATATTGAGGCCTGTGTAGAGGAGAGATCTTGTTTTGTTTGACGAATGACAAAAGTTGACAGTATGTTAAGAGACGCCATGAAAAAATTGCTTTTTACTGCTTTTTTTATTGCAGAGTGCCGGTGATGATTTACGGAAGTAAACTCTGACGGAAATTGGCTATAGCTGACCAAACTGCTAAATGATCAGAAAGGAAACTCACTTGCATGTGCGATGTAATATCCAGAATTTTTAAATGAAGAGACTAAATTAATGAGCCCTCTTGAAGTCAGAGACGAGATACACTCCAGTGTTTTGACCCTTACATACCTATTCATGTACCAGCCAATTTTTTTAAAGGACAGGAACTGTCAAGAGGCCGTGTTTCCGAATGCACTGTCCACCGAGAGAATAATGCGTTCAAACTGTGCTACGCTCAGATTTGTCTGATTTCCACAGACTATGTTTTCCACCTACTTTTAGGGTTAGTTCAGTCTTGATATCTGATTTCATTTTGAAATGATCAATGTTCTCTCTCACCCCAACCCTGATGAGAGTACCGTTCAGCTGAAGAAGATATTCGTGTTCTCTAATATGTTATGTTTCGCCGTCATACAGGGGTACAAACAATATGGCATCTTAGTGAACTTCGAACCTGGTTATGGCTGCTGCGTGCCCGTTTTGGCCGTGAAGTTTTCCGAACTGAATAGATGACTTTTTTATGATACGCGATCGGTACACCCTCATGGAAATCATAAAAAGCTTTTGCAAAGATCACGGCCAGGTGCCGATTAAACTAGGCCAGATACAGAAGGAAATTCTATTCTACTCCCGTGCTCATTTTAAAACCCTTTTCTGTGGTTCCACAGGTACGTATCCATGCCTTCATAGCAAAGTGAGAGTAGTCTTTTATCGGGGTAGCTGACAGTCCACTTCGCAGTCCACAGTGCCTCATGTTCACTGGGTCCAAATTTTTCGTGAAATCCCCAAAGAAGGCGTATAGGGGTTGCTTTCGTTTCCAGCACTATTTTTGCAGCTGACCTGCTCCAAAAGTAAAGTCAAACATGTTGCCCCAAAACCGTTCTTTGCGGGGCATTTATTTCAGAGTATAAGCACTAGACTGGTCGAGCAGGAAAATGCCAGGGCTTTGTCTTCAATACAGATAACACCTGTTCCTTGGCCATTGTCCTTTTTCTATCGGCTTTCCTTCTCTTAGAATAGTGGTGGCATACTTGAATATTTCTTCAACATTTTCAGTCTTTTCGATTGTGCAAACCAGTTGCAAACTTCAACTTTCGATGCTGTTCCTTTTTGGCAACACACTGAAAAAAGCGGTACTGAATACTCCTCGGAATAATGAAGTTCGGTTCCCCGATATGGTTCCTCCCATGTGATCGGTATCTGCAAATCGGGCTGCATGCTCCAAACAGATGTCCTGGGAAGTTCCAGAGAAACTGAAGGTATATTTAAGTTTCGGCAGGCTTCGTGATCGGTCGATCGATTTTTACTGAGATTAGGCAGGTCTGCCTCTTGGCTAAAAGTGTTGTGCATCCTTTGAATCCGTCAATTCGAAACCTGTTGATAAGGTTTCTAATTTGAACTTAGCCTATCTTAATCAACCTTTGGTTTCGTTTACCGACTGGTGCATTTTTTCACATCTCCTTGGTACTTTGACTTAACTGTCTGAGCCGTAAGCCGACGGCCAACAGGTCTACGGAAGCCAGTTGTCGAGAATCTGACCATCTTGGTAGCGGGGAGCTGGCTTGGCCAATGAAGAGATAAAGTGAGAAATAAGAGTTAATTATAATGCTATTGCACACAACAGATGCGTCTTGAGCAGAATCGGACACTTGGTGTCTCAAAGTAATGCGGACATATTATATAATCTTGCAGACATCGCACTCAACCATTGAAGGATCAATTTTACGGGCTTGAGATAGGTATTTCCTGACCCATTGTTTATTTTGGAGAGCAGATTGGTTAATTGCATAATCACACAGATCTGCTCATACTAGGGAATCGGTTTACTCTCCCTACACTCCAGTCACAGATGACAGTCCAATCCTTTGAAAGAAAAATGCATGTAGAGCACGGATGGGCTGCTGTTTGTCCGACTGCTCTACGGTTCGAACAACAGAACTTCGGGTCCGCAGACTTCTGATCTAAGTACCAAGCCATCTCGCCATTTCGCGGAACAGAGTGGTAGCCAGTGTAACCCTGAGGACTCTCCGGCACTGAAGCCAGACCAACACGATAATCTGACTGCTTTTCGCGCACTATTTTGAGTCTTTGAAGTCGCCTAATTTTTGCCCTGATAGGAAACCATAATGATGGCTGAGAAATACTGGCACAAAAGCTTCTTAGGTACTCACACTTGGATGAAATTTTAAGTGGTTGGAGGTTGTTTATTAGGGGTCCCCAACCGTATCCAACGGCGCACCGACAAGGTCTTTCCGAATAGTAGCGAGACGTTAGAGAGACAATGTNACCCTTGTTCACATAGTCCATTGAAAGAGTCACACTGGATTCAGGTGTTTGTGTCAAACAGATTTGGTCTGGCCCATGTACTAATCAAGGTTTCTCAAAAATTCAGCGAACGAGGTCTTTCACATGATTTAATAGTTTTACTGACATAAGGAATTGGATTGGCCAAGTGCCTGGCAATGAGAGAAGCCGGATCCTAAGCAAACGAGGTCTCATTCCGAAGAAATCTGGGACGTATTTTGGCAGACTTCTTGTTGGGCACCTTCAGTCTGCCTTTACTTCTCACTATGAGCCCTAGGGTGAGAGAGCAAGCATAGTGTAATGCACTCTAAGTTTGGAGGTGTTTAGATTACCGGCTATATCCGGTGTAGCATTTGTGGCTCTGAGTTATTCTAGTTTAGCCTGAGTACTACGTCATTGTCAAATATTAACACCACCTTGGTAGGCAGATGAAGAAATGTATATACTCCTGTGGCTGGTTCCACGGCGGGACCGGTTGTGGTTGATTCCCAATGCACATCAGGAGCTGCAGTTCACTATCGAGCCTATCGCGTGGCTCTGTGTGGCTTTGTGGAATGACGTAAGCACTGACGAGTAATTTAACTGAGCTGAGTCGAAAAACGGGAGTTTGCAATGAGAAAAAGCAGTCAGTTGTTTATTAGGACATTTGTAACACAAAAACTGCTATCCTCGAGCAGGGATGAAGTGATTTAAAGATGATAGGAATTCATAAGTGATCATTTATGAGCTGTGATATGAATGACTGCTGTCAGAGTTAAAATTACCTGCCATCAGTAGTGCCAGTGCAGGGATAGAGAGCCGTAAATAGATCGCTCGGTATGTTGCTACAATTCATTGTCCGACTGCTCTACGGTTCGAACAACAGAACTTCGGGTCCGCAGACTTCTGATCTAAGTACCAAGCCATCTCGCCATTTCGCGGAACAGAGTGGTAGCCAGTGTAACCCTGAGGACTCTCCGGCACTGAAGCCAGACCAACACGATAATCTGACTGCTTTTCGCGCACTATTTTGAGTCTTTGAAGTCGCCTAATTTTTGCCCTGATAGGAAACCATAATGATGGCTGAGAAATACTGGCACAAAAGCTTCTTAGGTACTCACACTTGGATGAAATTTTAAGTGGTTGGAGGTTGTTTATTAGGGGTCCCCAACCGTATCCAACGGTGCACCGACAAGGTCTTTCCGAATAGTAGCGAGACGTTAGAGAGACAATGTTAAGCTCGATGGACAAACCGATCAATAAAATTTGTCGGAAAGACTTGGCAGAAACTGTGCAATTAAGATTGGCCAGAACTCCCACCTGGGTTTCATGGCCAACAGCATTCCGATGCAGTGTAATCTTTCCATATACGTGCATATGCACCCGGCAGCTTTCTCAAGGCGGCTGTGCTGGTCTTTGCAATTCATGAGTTCACTTTACCATCAAGCTTCGGGTCTGTGGATTGTATGCTAATAATGGAGTGGAATTCCTTAGAATATGCTATCTCACTGCCAGCTGGTCGATTCTAGGGTCCATGCCGATGAACTACGAGTGTTCCGAACCGTTACGCTCAGAGACAAAGGGCCGTTGGTCGTCCTCAGCCTCTGTAATCCAGCTTCATAATGAGAGGATACGGCAAAACCGTTTGCAATCAGCAACATACAGACACTGGACTCACAAAGCAGTGCATTGTGTGGAAAATCTTCTAGTTGAATAAATGACTATCATAAAAACCTTCTCAGTGTTGAAGCTTCTGTGTGCCCGGGCTTTCAATCCAGGCTGAAAGGTTGTAGTGAAACTGGCAAATTTTTTCCAAACAGACAGACTATCATCTACTCACTGAGCTGATGTCTTCAGCGAAAATTACATGTAGTCTATTGAGTGACTGATTCCGTTCCGGACAGTTTGTGGCTGTCTTGTGATAAAATCGTACTTTGCTTGGAAATCTGCTCCTCGGAAAAGTTCTCCTGTGGAATATCACCGACTAGTCGACTGCGCAAAATGCTAGCCATAATCGTACTAACTCTGAATGACGCACTGTCCACCTGTTTGCTTCCTTTTCCCGTATACACGTGAACTATCTTGACG